CGCTTCCTCTGCTTGGCTTACTGTGGGCTCGGGGTCTGGCTCTACGCAGCTGCCGTCTGATGTCACCGACTGCCCCCCCCAGGGATAAGGGGTTGAGAGAGAGAGAGAGAGAGAGAGAGAGAGGCCCATTTCCACAGCTGCAAAAGTGCCACGGTATCAGTATTTAAGTGTGTATGTGGGGTTTGCATGTGCGTTTTGCTGCCCCCCCACCTCGCGGTCCGGTGCTGCCAACTCTGGCTGCTGGGGGGCGCCCTTGAGCCGGGCGATCTCCTGCGCCGGCGTCTCTGGCTCCTTCTCCAGGTCCTGCTCACGGAGCGAAGCCTCCAGCAGCTGAATGTCGCAAGACAGCGCCTCCTCCCTCCGCCGTGCCTGGGGGGGGCGGGGGGGTTGTCATTATACAGTCACACACCTTGTTTTTCTGATGGGCCGGTTCAGTACGCCGCTCAAAGGTACAACAGCATGGTCCCTGGTGGCACTGGAACCAGCAGCCTTAAATTCCACCTGCTGTGTGCATCAGAGCAACATATTTGATGTAAATAAGATGCACTGCTTCACTGCGTAAGGAGTGAGGGGGGGGCAGTATACCGGCAGGGTGCGGAAGGGGTTCTCCTTGGAGAAGGACGAGGAACGCGATGGTGACGGCGAGGGCTCCTGGCCCAGGACACCGATGTCCTTCTTCCTGTCCTTCAGGGAGGCGTTTTGGTGCCTCTTGATCCTCTCCAGCTGCTCCTCCAGGCTCATACGTGGCCGGGCGCTCTCGCTCGCAGACCCATGTTCCACCGCGCTGTGCGGCCTGTCCTGTGGTGGGGGCACGGGGGGCCAGTCAGTCACACACCGACCGACATCCTGCTCTGGTCAGTGACCACGGCGAGCCGCCGTCGGGAATCTGACTTACTGTCCTGGGACTCGGCTTCTTGGCCTTCCTCAGCGTGACATAGGACGCAATAGTGGAAGACTCTGGCATGGGTGACTTTGTCCTGGGGGGCACGATACCAACGGGGAAGGGCATTCCTGGACAAAAAAAAAATATAACCAGACAACAGCTTTTAAATAATTGTTTAAAAGAGCGATGGAGATCAATACGAAGACTACAACACATATTGTGTTTAAGGAGGATTCCCTGCTGAGTAATTTGCCATGATTCCCTGGGAGTGAGCGTGCGTACGTACACACACACACACGCACGCACACACGCACGCACGCACGCACGCACGCACACGCACGCACGCACGCACGCACGCGCACACACACACACACACACCTTTGCTGCTGGATGGCTCCTTCTCCACCTGCTCTGATCTGTCCTCACCGCCGCTCTCGTCCACCTCGGCCACCGTGGTCAGCTCCGGCTCGCTCTTGTACAGCCGGTAATCAGGCCCCTGCACCACGAAAGGGGACAGTGCCGTTCAGATGGCACACACGGGCATAAAACAAATAAGCCCCCCCCCCCCAATGGGACAATTGCTTGGATGTGCGGCTACAAGACGAGGAAAAATAAATCAATGAAAACCATCAGGGTGCTAATAACAGAACTGAGAGCTGTGAGAAGGTGGTCAAATTTCAGGAGCTAAGCTACGGGGGGGGGGGGGGTTGAGATGGGGGTGGGATGGGATGATAGGAAACGTGATTCAAAACTAAAAATACTGATCCCAAAAAAGTGGGCGGGGACAGGAAGCAGCCATGAGAGCTACTGATGGCGAGGTATGGTGGGGTCAGAGGTCAGCAGCTCACGGTGTTCACGCCGTTCTTCTGGGCTGCCTTGCGCTCGTCGGCGGCACGCAGCGAGGGGTGCCGGCCGACGTGCAGCTGGACGCTGCCGGGGGAGCGCAGGGGGGGCAGTCTCTCGCCAGTGTCATAGGACAGGGGGAGGGGCGGCCGCGGCGGCACCGGCTCGTCTCCCTGGGGGGCCGCAGAGAGGGGGGGCTCTGCGGGTCGCCATGGGTCGGCTGACGATCGGCCCGTAACTGCAGAAGCCTTAACGAGGTCCGGGGGGGCAGTGTGAGAGGGGAGGCAGTGGGGAGCGGAATGTTCCAGAGCAGTGTTTCCCAACCCGGTCCTTGGGGACCCACAGACGGTCCACGGTTTTGCTTCTACTGGGAGCTGGGAGGGAGCAAAAACGTGGACCGACTGTGGGTCCCCAAGGACCGGGTTGGGAAACATTGGTCTAGAGGAAGATGTGTCCATATCTTTTGTCCTAGTTGAGGAAGTTTAATGGCGTGTTTGTCAAAGTGAAACTCCTCTGTGGGCTATGCAAGCTGTCACACTTCACTTACGTCGCCCTTGAGCTCGCTGGACAGTGGCCTGGGGTTTGGGGCATCTGTGAACGTAACAAACGGGGGGGCACGTTAAACTCCAGACCTGCTCAGCAACACAGAACTTATACTGGGCGCCGGAAGCTCTTAAAGGGCCAAGTCACCCCAAAATCAAAAAAAGCATGTTTATGATTATGATTATCCTGTCTAGATTGTTAGGGAGAGAGTTGCCTTGTTTCAGAGATATCAGTCTTCTCCCGAATATAATGGGACTGAACGGCAACATGGGACAACAGCAGCGTCTCTTGACCAGAAATCATGACCCGGTTAACTCAAGATAATCCACAAACCTTGTAGTGAGCAGTTTAATGTAGGAACTATTTTGTTTCTACCAAACTCCACACACCATCCGTATCACTGCGCAGAAGATGGTCAGGAGCACAAGCGCCGGCACTATGTGACTAGAGGTAAACAACAATGGCGTCCTCCTCGGCTGAGCGCTAATAGCTAATGTTAGCTAAGTGCTGGGCAAACTAACAGTGTATCCAGCTATTAATTAATATATTACTGTTGCTATATGTTAGTGTTGGTAGCTGATGCTAACCGATACTATTAGCTTAGCTGAGGAGGGCACCTTTGATGTTTAAATCTGCAAGCCCGCCAAGAGACACACACACACACACTCTCACCTGTGCTGTCGGTGCTTCTTTGAGGTTTGTTCTTGCTCAGAGCTTCCATTACATCTTGTACCCTCCAGAGCTCCTTCTGGATCTGCACGTACTGCTGGCTGGGAGGCTCAGTCTGCAAACACGCACGCAGAGTCAGCCGTCATCACGGTGACCGACATCGGCAGATAGGAGAGCAAAGTTCAAAACTAAGCAGCCATGAAAGCCCCTGAAAGGAAGAACGAGCCCACAGGAGGCAGGAACGACCACCTGCCGCCCCCTCGCCACGCGCCCAAGCGTCTCGCGCCCTTCGTCACGAGAGCCGTGTTTCCAGCAGGGCACATCAGGGTGGGGGCGGAGACGCACTCAGCAAGATCTCATTACCATCTTCCCAGCCCCACAGACCATCCATCCATCTCTCCCCTCTCGATTATGATCCCCCCTCCCTCGCGTTATTCATAAGGGCCATAATGGACCCAATTCCTTCAAGCTCCCCCCCGCCTGGCACCACAAAACCCAGCTTAACATCCCTACAGACCCATCTCACCCTCACTCCATCTTTGCTCCGTCTTTTTTCATGCAGTCCAGCCTTATTTAATGGGACTGTGTGCGTCTAACGTCCCAGCCCATTAAGCCCATGTCCCAGCAAAGGCTGTCTTGTGGGGGCGAGGGGGGGGTACCTGAGGGGTTTGCACGGCTTCCAGCTGCTCCAGCAGGCTGCTCTTGGCTAGGGCGACCTCTGACTCCAGCCTGTCGTAGTACCTCCAGGAACGATCCAGCTCCTAGTGGATGAGAGGCGCGGTCACACACACGCATGCGGGAGGCTGGCCGCACCCCCCCACCCCTGAACGGGCCCCCCACCGTGCCGACGCGGCTCAGCTCCCTGCACGTGCTGAGCAGCCCGCTCTGCAGCACCTCCCGCTGCTGAGCCACGCCCATCATGGCCGCCACATCCTCCCCGTTCATCTCCATCTCCTGACTGGCGGACAGCAGCGCCGTCTCCAGCGTGTGCTGTGGGGAGATGCTGCAGTCAAGCCAGAGGCCACACCCACCCCGTCTGTGACCTCTGACCCCCCGGAGGACCTCAACCTTAGCAGGAACCCCTCCCACTCTGCCCCGGCCCAGAAACTACCCGTCCGTAACGACTGGTTATCACCACCTATAATCTGTGGCACGTCGTCAGCATAATTAGGGAAATGACAGTGGTCCGGATACCATCAGAAGATTCACGGAGCAGAGGTATGGACTCGTTCACACAGGGGGGGCGTTATTATCTGGTAACCCCAGGAGACCCCCACCTTCTCTCGGCACAGCTGCTGCAGCTTCTCCGCATGCATCCGCACCACCTTGTCCTGCTCACACAGTCGACTCAGCTTTACCTGAAAGAGGTCAGGGGGGTCATGGGATGTGGGGGCCATCTGATACGCTCAAGATTTGAAGGACCTTCTTGCGGGTGGGTGGGGGGTTAATCTACTCTCAGGCTTTCAATAAAAGTTAGGCGGTGTTGGCCTTTGAAGGTTACCAGGGTGTATTTGAGGCAAACCTGATTCAGTCTGCAGAGAAACAGATTAAAGATTACGTAGTTTATCCATTAACAGCAAGAGCATAATTAGCATTTAGCACACTACTGAATGCGTGGCATCGTACACAACCAAGGTGGAACACTAGCAGAGGCTCTGAGGGCGAGGTCTCCATTATCTCTGTATTGGGGTGTAGTGTGAGGAGCAGGAGGATCTGCAGTGGGGGCTTTGCTGCTTTTCAGCTCAGGACGATGCCTTCCTGAGTTCACTCACAGCGTTCACTCCATCTGCACTTACATCAATGTCGTCCTCCGACCTGTAGCTGTAGCGGTTTTCTCTGTAGCCTTCAGTGGGCGTCTACGAGGGCGAGAGGGACAATCAGAGACATACAGACAGCGGGGGGGCTGTCTCCCCAACTACAGGGGGCCTTCACTGCAGCAGATGCCACAAACAGGCCAAGCGTTCCAAAGAAAAGGGTCGTGAGCTCCAGCCTACCCAGAATCCTCTGTTTTTGGACGTTTCAGAGAAGACAGAAAGAAGTTCTTTAAAAGATGGCAGAAAGGGGGCAGCGTTCTGCCCTGTCAGCCACCACAGCAGTGCTGATGAAGGTTACTGACGCGTTTGGGTTACAGCCGACAGGAGAGGAGCAAAGAGACACAAAAAGGACACCTCACCCCCCCAAAGCTGGGATCCAGCTCCTATTCAAATGTCAGCGGAAAGCTCTGGAACCTGCATCCACACATCCGACAGGTCAGTGACAGCTGGCCAAGGTTAGGACACAGCACAGTGCTGAGAGGCTACATGTCAAAGGACCAGAAGCAGCCCTTCAAATGGCAAAGCCGACCGAGAGTTTGGGTCAGCGGCAGAGAGGACGGTGAGCATCACAGAATGGCTGCGGGAATCTCCGTTACTGAGATAAAAGGGCGTCTCCCCACTACCAGGTACAAGGCTTTAAGGTGCCTACAATACCTCACCTCTTTAGCAGAAGAGCGGAACAATCAAAGAGAAAATTAGCTTCAGTACCTCCTACAGTGAACTGTCACAAGCCGATCTTATAGCAGATCAACCTTAGAGATCCCACTCACAGCAAATCCTTCTTATAGTATCCCTCTTATAGCAGATCCACATCACAATTGGTCCCTTTTATAATAGATCCCACACACACACACACAGTCGATCCCTCTCATAGCAGACCCACCTCGCAAGTCGATCTCCATTGTCAAAAGCTATCCCAATATACTAGTCACCAAATAATTTAAGTGGTTGTGAATAGGCCTTTTCAAAATAAAATCATTTTAGAAGCATTCAAAGTACATGAAACGTGTTGAAAAGCGTGCACACATGCTCTCACACACACGCATACCTACACCCACACGTGCGCTCACACACACACACACACACCGTGTCAGCCGGTGTGCTAAGCGTGGTCCGCCGATACTCCACACGTGGCATGCAGGCGCTGTCCCAGAGCACGCCGCGGCGGGGCGGGGCGTGGTGATGGCGATGGGGTGGGGGCGTCGCGGGACACTGCGCTCAGCGTGACAGCAGCGACACTTTTACACCCAGGTTACAAAAGTGGCCAGGAGGTGGCGACGTTGCGCGGGACCCCCTGCGTCTCTCAGCTGTTCTGGGTGGCTAGACGTGGGGGCGACGGGGCTCTGGTGCTGTCTAAAGTGGGCTTGATTATTCCCCCTGGTTCTGGTGCGAAACAACACCCAGCACAAACTTTACTAGACGTTTACTATCAGGTTAACTGAACATTAGAGTGTTCACTCCCAACCTGTTCTTGTCCTTCTAAAAGTAACAGAGACACTTATGTTAAGAGTTCAGCCCTACATTTGTATGACACATTTAAGGGAGTGAATGTTTCCTCAGCTGTAATTGTTGTTTTGGTCAACAGGTGGCGCTCTAACAGCCACAGCTAAGAAGCACACCCAGGACGCGGCGCTACACTGTCCGGCGCAGCGAAGTCGGGCACCGCCACAAGCAGCGATGGATGGGATGGGCAGCGGGACACAGTGAGGGGGTGTCAAGGGGACGGGGAGCCTGCCAGCGACAACACAGCTACCACACCGACTTCGGCCCGGATGGGAGGAGACAAGGACGACGAGGACGACGACCATGAGGGTACTTCCATGGCAAGACCTTACTTGCTGGTACAGTTGTGGTCTTGGCGCCGAGTTCTCGATCATAGTGTGAATCATGGTGATTAAAGGCTCATTTTCTTTCATCTAGTTCAAATTGAAAGGAGCACAGAGCAGGTGTCAGTTTACAGAGAAAACAGGATCTCTCTGTCTGTCCATCTGTCTCTGTCTGTCCATCTGTCTCTGTTTGTCCATCTGTCTCTGTCTGTCCATCTGTCTCTGTCTGTCCATCTGTCTCTGT